TTCTGTTTCCCCTGGGCTCCTGAAGCACTTTCCAGCCCCCAAGTTTAGTTGCACATCTTTCCTTGTAATCAGAATGTGCTGGGGTCCCCTAGGGCCCAGGTACTCTCAAAGACACCTGTCTCTATCAGTGTGACAGTTCTGCCAGAGGGCAGCCAAGTCCTACTCCAAGTCTCAAGACTGAAGGCATATTCACCGTGCTCCCAGAGTTGAACTGTTTCATAATGGTTAGCCTAGCAAGTTCTGGGTCTTTCCAGGTACAGACTGTGGCAAATGTGTCATGAGTCTCAGAACAGGACCTGTAGGCAGCAGAAGTGAGCTGTCTTTCATGCTAGAGAAGGTGTAAAAGAGTAGCCACCGGAAGCCAGACACTTACATCCTGACCTTTCACCCCTCGGGGTATGAGACTAGCCTCTGCCGTTGTTCCTATGACCACAGCCCCCACAGTCTGAACCAGAGTCACCGGAGCCTGCCAATCCAGGGGCCGCAGCACGAAGGCCTTAGAGGGGGACAGGTGCTTCTGCACTGTGGGTCTGACCCAGACCCAGTCCAGCAATTCCTCAGGGAAGGCACACTCTGGTCACACTCTGGGCCTCTATATAGCCCAGACTAGCCTTGATTCACCGCACTCCTGCCTCAGTCGGGAGGGGATTACAAGCTGTGCTACCACACCTGACTAGGACTAGAGACTGAACATAGGGCTCCAAGCATGTTAGACAAATGCTTTACTGAGCTTTAGCTACAACCTAATATACAGTGTGTGCGTGCGCATGCATGTGTGACAGGGATGGAACACAGCCCGGGTGTGCTAGGTAGGCACCGTGTCACAGAGCCACACCCTAGCCCTTTAGCCATTCTAATTTCATATGCTCAGTGCCTGTTCCAGATTCTACCAGTTTTTTAAAAATTTTTTAATACTTTATTTATTTATTTATTATGTATACAATATTCTGTCTGCATGTATGTCTGCAGGCCAGAAGAGGGCACCAGACCTAATTACAGATGGTTGTGAGCCACCATGTGGTTGCTGGGAATTGAACTCAGAACCTTTGGAAGAGCAGGCAATGCTCTTAACCACTGAGCCATCTCTCCAGCCCCAGACTTTTTTTTTTTAATAAAAAATTTCAAAATGTGTGTATGTAGCGATTACAATGTATTGTGTGGTTGCCCATTAGATCCCCTGTCGTCACAGGCAGTTGTGAGTTGCGTTTGGGAACTGAGCGCAGTTCTAAAGTGTTCTTTTTTTTTTTAATATTTATTTATTTATTTGTGATATATACGATATTCTGTCTGTGTGTATGCCTGCAGGCCAGAAGAGGGCACCAGACCTCATTACAGATGGTTGTGAGCCACCATGTGGTTGCCGGGAATTGAACTCAGGACCTTTGGAAGAGCAGGCAATGCTCTTAACCTCTGAGCCATCTCTCCAGCCCCTCTAAAGTGTTCTTAACTGACGAACCGTCTTTCTAGGACCAATCATATAGTCTTCAGAGTTTGAGGGACGGCCAGGCATGGCGACGCATGTACTTAACCCCACCACTCGAGGCAGAGTCAGGTAGATTTTTGTGGTTTGAAGCCAGCCTGGTCTACATATCTGGTTCCAAGCCAGCCAGCACTACAAAATGAGACCCTGTCTCAAAAAATAAACAAACAAAAGAGTGGGGGTGGTATGTGCGCGTGCGTGTGTGGTGTGTGTGTATGTGTGTGTAGAGCTGGCTCAGTGGTTAAGAGCACTTGTTCTTACAGAGGACTCCGTTCAGTTCCCAGCACCCACATGGTGGCTCACAGTCAGTTTCAGAGAATCTGAGCCTCTTCTGACCTTCCCAGGCATCAGGCATGCAAGTGGGGCATAAACACAGGCAAAATACTCGCACATCTAAGCATTTTAAAGAGCAGAAGAAAAATAAACGACTAGTTTATTGAGGCTTGGCAAGATGAGTCAGGGAGTGAAAGTGTTTGCCACCACGCCTAACCACCTGAGTTCCACAAGCACTTGTGTCACAGAAACAGAACCAGATCCTGCAAGTTGTCCTTGACTTCCATTGGTGTCATCCCTCACAAAGAAGAAAGAAAAGAAGATTGAGCACTCAGCAAGCAAGCAGTGAGTAGGAAGGAACTACAGGACAGCCAGCATCCTCTTCTTGTTTGCTTTACTCTTGTTATGCTGTGAGATAGCCCTGACTAACCTTGTAAGTTCAGCTAACCTAACCTAAACTCGGTTCTCCCTGCCTCTGCCTCCCGAGGCTCCCAGGAAAGGAGGCAGGGGACTATCAAGACGGCTTAATGGGTAAGAGTGCCCGGCGTGGGGCCCGACGACACTGAGTTCAATCCCCAAGCTCCACATTAAGAAAAAAGAGAGGGGGCTGGAGAGATGGCTCAGAGGTTAAGAGCACTGGCTGCTCTTCCAGAGGTCCTGAGTTCAATTCCCAGCAACCACATGGTGGCTCACAACCATCTGTAATGAGGTCTGGTGCCCTCTTCTGTTCTACAGGCACACACACAGACAGAATATTGTATACGTAATAAATAAATAAATAAATATTAAAAAAAAAAAGAGAGAACCAAATTTCCCAAGTTGTGCTCTGCCATGCACACTGAGGCACATACGCACTCTCGCACGTGTGCACACTAGCACATATGCACACTCACACGTGTGCACACTCGCACATACACTTAAATAAAACTAAAGAGGGAGGCAGGGAAGAAACCCCTGGATGCTTCAGAAGAAGGCAGAAGATGCAGACATTCAGGCCCCTATCCTTCCCTTTTAAGACATCTGTGGTCTACATCCCATCTCCTGCTGGCTCTTATAAAGTCACTAGGGTGGAAGAGGCTGCAGCTGTCCTGTCTGGAGTAAGGCCTATTCACCCCTAAGCCTGGAACTGGTGAGCCTTCCCGATGCTTCCAACTGTCCCCTTCTCCCAGCTTAGGTGCCTAAACCCCTTGAGAAGAAGAAAGAGGGACCCTTCTTTCTTTCCCTCCCCTTGAAACTTTTAATCCAGCTGTAAAAGAATGGGCCTGTGGGTGTGGTTGAGAGACCTGAGCTGGGTTGTGTCAAAGACTGTCACAGGGTCTCGCAGACAAGCTGTATCTAACTCCAAGCCTGACCCTGAACTCTGAGCTCCAATTAATCATTAAACCAGTCACCTTTCCCAGCCTTGGTGCAAAGGCTTGGTCAGTTCCTTTCTTCCTCCCCAAACTTCATTCAGACCATTTTTCTACCTCAGCCTGAGCTCAATAGCCACACTAAGGAGCAGCAGCCATTTGCCTTCCTTCTACAGACATAAGGGCAGACACCCCATCTTAGCTCCCTTTATCCACCCAGTCCCACCAGCCTGGGCCCAGGTGTGTATGCCCACCCACCTTCCCGGAAGCCCCACCTCCCTCCTCAGTTAGGATCAGGAGAGAACAGAGGCAGGTGGCTAAATATAACAAGTCCACACATCACCCGGCCCCTACCCCACAAGTGCGCACACCACCTGGTGTCCCAGGCCTGGACAGCTGCATGGAGGCAGAAGACTAGATGAACAAGAAGCAATAGACACCACCCACCCACCCTGTTTCCGATCAATGCTGTCCCCAGATCCACTACACAGTTTCTCCACTGAAGAGCATTGGTGGCTGATTGAACGAGTTTCGATGACAGCTAACTAGTTAACACACTGGGATTCTTCTAACCTTGCCTCATACATTTCTCACTAAGTTGTTCGTTTCCCTCATGGAAAAAGACTGGACCCATAACTTCTGTTTGCACTTGAGGAAGCGATGGGTCGGCCATCCTTACCACCTGGGATCTAGTAATGACCAACCACAGACACACAGAGTTTTGGCAGAAGATAATGCAAAAGGAGGAAAGAGGAGGAGAGGTTAAAGCTACCGCCTGTAGGTAGGTAGGCATTTTCAAAGCTGTGGCTTGGGTCTACAGCATAGAGAAAAGGACCAAGAGCACAGAAGCAAATAGGAGTCAAGGAGGAAGAATGCGGCCTAGACTTCCCAGGCTTTGGAGGGCCTTCTTAGAAAGAAGGTGGAGTCAAGAAGGGTGGGGTAGGGTGGAGCAGGGATGGGTGAGGCGGGAGTGGCCTGAAGCTCTCTAACGGCTGGATTTCAAAAATGTCATTGTATTCCAGCAGTTTAATAAGGCAAGATCAAGACATCAGCAGCCGAGAGGATGGGCCAGAGAGAAGTCTGGCTTGGCTAGGAAACTGAAAGTGGCTCACCAGCTGAGGGAGAAAAGGTCAGAGCTTCCAAACCTTGAAGTCTCCAAGCAGAGAGGCCCTGAAGTGGGGTGCCTGAGACCCAGGCAGAACAGTATTTCCTGAGCCATTAGCCTCTGTGCCCAGCCTCCCTCCCCTCCCTCCCTTGCATTCCTGGGCCAGGCAGGCCAAGGGCTGTGGGATCTGCGGGGGAGCAAATCTCCTGGTGTGCTTCTTTCTGGTGGGCCTGAGAGTCTAGGAAAAGTCCCAGACATTCCCAACTCCTAGAAAGAAGCAGGAGGCCATGCTAACACAGCCATGGGGGAAAGGAGACTATGCTTCCTTGGTGAACCCTCTATAGTACCACTGGACAAATGTCAGAATGGGAGCTGTTTCATCAGACACCATGTGTTCAGAACCACGTTGGGCAAATTGGTATAGTGCCAAGACTCCCAAGAAAGTTCTACTAAAACCCTTTCACCCATTCTGATGTGTCCCAGGTGTTCAGAGTTCCAAGACCCGGTAGAGCCAGTTCTGCCTTGCTCAAGCCCATCCCCCAAGCTACAAATGGCCATAAAATCCCACCTTGACAGAATGAGGCCCTGCTGTCAACCGCACTTGATCCTAAGGTCCCCACTACTCTTTATATCCCCCACCCTCTCACAGAGACCCCTCCCTTCTGTGTCCTGTCTCGACTATTCCCCTTGGCACTGCCAGTCACCCGCGGGAGGCAGTTCCGGGGAGGGAGGGGACTAGGTGGCCAGTTACTGGTGACTGCTGCCTCTCTGGTGCCGGCCTGGCCTCACTCACCGAGCCTTCAGCTCCTTGAACTCCTCACGCACTTTGCTCAGCTCCAACTGCAGGCGGGCGCGCTCCTTGGCCACAGAGTCGAGGGTCTTGCGGGCATCCCCCAGCTCGGCCTCGTAGGCCGCCTTGATGCCAGACACTTCACGGCTGACCACCTCTTCGGACTCGGTGATGCGAAGGCGCAACCCTGCATTCTCAGTCTCCAGGGAACGCACGCGATCAATGTACACCGCCAGACGGTCGTTGAGCTCCTGAAGGTCCTCCTTCTCCTGCAGTCGGGTGATCCGAGTGGGCGACAGCGGAGTAGAACTGGACTGCGCCCCACTGCGGGTGGCGCGCCGCTGGGACGGGGTCTCCATGGCCGGCAGGGTGGCAATGCTGCCCGCTGGGCAGGGGTCCCGAGAAGGGCGCGGGACTTGGACAGAAGGACAGAGGCTGCTCAGGGGCACAGAGAGCCGGCGACTGGCTGGCTCTAAACTCGCTCCTGGCAGGCGTGGAGATCTGGGCTGGGCGCTGGCGCACCTCGGGATCTGGGTTGGCTGGTGTCAAAGCTGAGGCTGCGTTCCCGCGAACACTGAGTCACTGACAGCAGGGCACAGGCTCTAATAGGCCCTCCTTTACAGGGGGTGGATCCGCTGTTCTTAAAGGAGCCATCCCAGACCCAAAGGGGCGGGGGCAGGTATGGTGAGGAGGGGCCTGGACCGCCAAGCCTCACCCTCTCCAGAACACCGCTTTCTGGCCTGGGGCTTCACAGTATAGGTTCCTGCCTGCTCAACTCTTTCAGTTCCAAGCTTGCCTTTGGCTTTCTGGGGTAAAGAACAGAGCCAAGGAATGAGAGTGGGTGGGCAAAAGGTAGTGGTGAGGGACGGGGGAAGTAGGTGCAAAGTGAGGGAGAGAGCCAGGCATTGCCATGTAGTCAGGAAATTGGGGGGTAGGGCTGAGGCTGATGCCCATCAGTGAGTCACTCAGCCCTCTTCCACCACTGCTCCCCCCTCCAGTAGTAACAGTGAGTCACCTCTCCCCCACGCACTGGGACGGACCATTCAGGATGGCAAAGGAACGTCTGGATTTTTAGGTGGCTGAGGAACTACTTTATATCCTCAACTTCCCTATATTTCTGATTTTGAAACCAAGCATTGGGTTTTAGACCGAAGCAATAAGCCTTCCCCAGAGAAGGCCAAGAATATAAGTCAGGAGCTGGTCCCTCCCATCTCCTGCCCCTTTCCTTTGAACCCAGACAGTTGGAAAAAGTCTGCTGAAATCCCTCCACTTCAGCCCCTTTCTACAGCTTACCCCACCCAACCAATTCCAGGACTGTACTTATTTTAGTGGCTAATTTAAAACAGATACCGGAGCTGCGCACACATTCATGGCACTGGCCAGGACACCAGGCTCCTTTTGTGACTGGAGGAAGGGCCTGCAAAGAGGACCAGGGTGGGGAGTAGGGACAGCTACCACAGGCTCTCCATCCTGCTTACTCCTCCTCAGCCGCACAAGCCCTCACTGACCAGTTACGGGAGAGCCCAGACTGCCTCCCAGAATAGTAACCCTGGACCCAGGTTCTTCAACCTCCAAAGACTCCCCGGATCAGCAGCCTAGAGCTCTCCTGTAACCCTGGTTACACCAGCGCTGTCATCGTCTTCTGTGAGGAGGCACTGGGACATTGATTAGGCTGCCAGTTCCTGGATTTCCAAAATATCAGGGCTGGGTAGGTTCTGGGCCATGAGCTTAAGTTAGAACTCTGGGAGAGTTTTCTCTCTCTCTTTCTTTCTTTCTTTCTTTCTTTTTTCTTTCTACTTATTGGGCTCTGTTTTTTTGAGACAGGATTTCTCTGTGTATTCCTGGATGTCCTGGAACTCACACTGTTGACCAGGCTGGCCTCAAATGCAGATATTCGCCTGCTTCTGCCTCCTGAGTGGTTAAAGGTGTGCACCCCCACCACCAGGCTCTGGGAGAGTTCTTACTCCTCTGAGGGTGTCTGGGCAGTGTGGTGAGGATACAGGATGCACCTAGGTGAGGGGACCTAGAACATGCCTTCCTTTCCCTGCAGTCCTCTCCCTCAGGATGTGGCACTGACACTCAACTTCACAGACATAAACAACAGCAAAAAAGTTTCTTCTGCCTATCCTGCTCCTAGTTCCTAAACTAGAAGCAGAGGCAAGTGGGCAAGCCAGTGAGACTTGAGAGCTGGGGCTCGTGCTGTTCCCGTTCCCTCCTTTCCCCTCCCTGGCCTGGCTTCCCTTCCTGGCTTTCCTAACAAAACCACACTTAACCCTTCTTATCCTACCACCAGTCCCCATTTGGGGGGGGGGGGAGGTATAGAAGAGGGCTTTCACTCCAAACTGTACTCAGCGCTCACCGAAGGATCTGTGTCACCACTATAATCAAGGCGGCCTCAATCCTAACCTGAATTTCAGAGGGCATCTCTTCCTGAGGGTCCTATCCTGTTCTGGGCCTCAAAGACCTGAGTCTGTTCCTTCTCTGTGAAGACATCAGTGACAGTGCTGGAAGCCACCTGAGAGAGTGGGAGGCCAGGGGCATGGCAGGTACCAACTCTCATTCCTGCCTGCTGCGTGATGTGGTGTGACGTGACATGAGCTCTGCACCTGCCTTCCCTGCTCCTCAACTGTCACGTGAGCAAAGGAACCACGAAAGACCTGGGAACTGGGCTCCCAGAGTGTGGAGTTCTCCAAACCATGCCACAAGGCTGCAGCATTACTCAAGGGAGCCTCTCACTGGCAGAGAAGGGTGGGGAGGATCAAAACTAATAGCCGGACCAGGCGGTGGTGGCACACGTCTTTAATCCCACCCAGCTCTCTGTGAGTTCGAGGCCAGTCTGGTCTACAAGAGCTAGTTCCAGGACAGGAACCAAAGGCTACGGAGAAACCCTGTCTCGAAAAAAAAAAACTAATAACCGGGCAGTGGCGGCGCACGCCTTTAATCCCAGCACTCAGGCAGAGGTAGGCAGATCTTTGTGAGTTTGTGACCAGGATGGTCTACAGAGCTAGTTCCAGGACAGTTAGGGCTGTTATACATAGAAATTCTGTCTCAAAAAAAAAAAAAAACAAAAACAAAAAAAAAAAGGAAAGAAAACAAACAAGAAGAACCTATGGTTAAAGAGCAGCCTGGAACCCTGGAGGTGGTGGCATACACCTTTAATCCCAGCAGTTGGGAGGCAGAGGGCAGAGGCAGGCGGATCTCTGAGTTCAAGGTTAGCCTGGTGTACAGAGTTCCAGGACAGCCAGGACCATTACACAGAGAAACCCTGTCTCAAAAACAAAACTTAAAAAAAAAAAGAGCAGCCTGGAACTCAAAACTGGATAATGAATTCCACATGGAACCCAGAAGTCTGGGTGCTGAAGCATTATGGGAATACAACCCTGGAGTCTAAGAGATTGGGCACTTGCCATCGGGACCAGCGGTCTTAAAGAGGGTGGTGGCGTCTTTCTGTGACTCCTCTTCCTTCTGGGAGAGCCGGGAGGGACCTGAGGGACTGAGCCTTGCTCACTGTGCACTGGTGCACCAGGAGTGCTCAGTGTCCTCTGAGAGACCTGAAGGACTGAGCCTTGCTCACTGTGCACTGGTGCACCAGGAGTGCTCAGTGTCCTCTGAGAGACCTGAAGGACTGAGCCTTGCTCACTGTGCACTGGTGCACCAGGAGTGCTCAGTGTCCTCTGAGACAATGCATTTGGCCCTGTCACTTCTGGGAGAGCAACTCAAGTAAGTTATCTCATGTTGCAGAGTCTCAGTTCCTCCGTCTGTAAAATGAAGCGGTTCTGTAGGCAACACACACTGCAGGAAAAGTTCCTTCTAAAGGTAGGTTTAGTGCTGTTGTAGATGTGCCTCAAGTGTAGATGGAGAATTTACTCATTCAGCAAATATTTATTGAGGACTTACTATTGGCCAAGTTTTTCTAGGCACTAGGGATATAGTAATGAATAAAACATAAAAACTGGAACTGGGGAGCCAAGTGTGCTGGCATGCACCTTTTTTTTGTTTTGTTTTGTGTGTGTGTATGTGTGTGTTGTGTGTGTTTTCGAGACAGGGTTTCTCTGTAGCTTTGGTGCCTGTCTTGGAACTAGCTCTTGTAGACCAGACTGGCCAGGTCACAGAGGCCAGCCTGCCTCTGCCTCCCGAGTGCTCGGATTAAAAGTGTGCGCCACCACTGACCAACTGGAACTAGCTCTTGTAGACCAGGCTGGCCTCGAACTCGCAGAGATGCAGAGATCCTCCTGCCTCTGCCTCCCGAATGCTAGAATTAAAGGCATGCGCCACCACCACCCAGCTTTGGTATGCACCTTTAATCCCAGCACTTAGGAGGCAGAGGCAGGAGGATCTCTGTGAGTTTCAGGTCAGCCTGGGCTACAAAGTGAGGCCCTGCCTCAAAGTAGATAGACAAATAGACAGACGGACAGAGTAAAACAGAATGGGTTGGAAGTATAGCTCAGCAGTAGAGCACTTGTGTAACATATGTAAGACCAGGATTCCATCCCTAGCACCACACACATCCATGTGACACACACACACACACACAAAACCAATAACAACTACGACAAAAACAAAAAACAGTTAAAAAAAAAAACCCTTCCCTCTTGGAACTCTAGTAGAAGTAGCTGGTAAATAAAAGACAGAATTCTAGTTAACAAGGCAGTGAGCGTCAAGGGCATAAAAATGCAAAGCAAGCAGGCGGGGTGGCTCACACCTTTCCTTTATTCCTGGCACTAGAGATATAGCAATAAATAAGCAAGTTCCAGCAAATGCTGGGATGAAAGGCATGGGCCACCACTGTCTGTCCTGTTGTTTTGAGACAGGGCCTCACTATATAGCCCTGGATGGCCTCAAGCTCACAGAGATCTCCCTGCCTACTGAGTGCTGGGACTAAAGGCGTGCCCCCATCACATCCGGCTCCTACAATTGTTTTAGAATTACTTGTGTGTCTGTGTGCACCATGTATGTATAGGCACCCATGCCACAGCATCAATATAGAGGTCAGAGGGCAACTTTATGGAGCAGGTTCTCTTCTGCTTTCATGTGTGCTCTGGGAACTGCTCAGGCTGCCAGGCTTGTGTGGCTATTTCTTTACCTGCCATCTAGTCAGCCCCTCTATAATTTTGTGGGTTTTTTTTGTTTTATTTTTGTTTTTGTTTTTTGAGACAGGGTTTCTCTGTGGCTTTGGAGCCTGTCCTGGAACTAACTCTGTAGACCAGGCTGGTCTCGAACTCACAGAGATCCGCCTGCCTCTGCCTCCCGAGTGCTGGGATTAAAGGCGTGCGCCACCCCCGCCCGGCTAATTTTGTGTTTTTATACACATTCCCAACATGGACCACAAAGTAACTGAACAGGTTGGACATTCATGCCCTACACTACATGTGAGTCTGCCATTCCCCTAATCAGACAGCAAGGAGGCTGGAGCAGGTCAGCTCCGACACAGCCTCGTCCAAACCTAGGCCTGCTTTACTACCTTCTGCTAGGACTTGTGTGGGAGGTGCAGTGCATGGGCTGGTGCCAGAGGACTTCTGTTCACAGGTCTAAAATGGACAAAGCAGAGGGTGTGTCCTGACCCATGGAGGGAGGAGTGAGACTGGGAGGTGTGAATGAAGGGACAGGATGGACTACGATGTGAAGGTGGAGAGGGGACCTGATGCTGTGATAGAGTCCTAAGGTGAGGATTCGAGCTGCTAAGTGGGCTTGAAGTGGAGGTGAGAAGGAAAGCGTTGAGAATGCAGAGGCAGGGGCAGGTGTGGTTGTAGCTACTCAAGAGGTGATAGAAGGTGGACTTCTCGAGTTTTCTGCCAGCCAGGGGTAC